TTCCTCTTCTCTTAATGGCTCTAACATCTCAGTATTATACCACTGCCCGATTGTTAACCCTGACTTATTCTGTCCCTGAAAACAACCCTGGTGTGAAGAGCAGACAATGGGAGCTTCGAAACTGTACTCCACCAAGGTCAACAGTGCAAAAGTTATCCCTTCATTTTCACACTACTCCACAATCTTTCAATCAAGTAAAACCCTGTGAGTTGTGATAATTCTATAGTTGGCTGTTAGCCCTGTTGTCTGAACTACGACCCCTGAATGCTATGGAAGCAGCAGGTTCACCCCATGTTATCTGATCAGCCATAGTTACCACATTTACAATCTGCCATCCTGTTTCACAATCTCACTAGGAAAATTGTATTACTTGCAGTGCAAGGCAAATATCAGTTTGCTGTGTACAGTCAAGTAGAAGCACTTCTCTCATAAATCTCTATTTTGTACAAAATATGTTTGGTGGAATACCTGATTAATGAAACTTAAGCAGTTATGCAGTGAGGAGAATCCAGATAATTGCAGCATCAATTAAAATTAGCCTTAAACCAGTTCCTGGATTACAGCTGATGACCTAGACCTTTCGCATTTTATGGGACTATGCGTGGAAAGGCCCAGACCACAAGATGAGTCCCTGAATCAAAAGCTGACATGATTAAATTCATTTAATTCCCTGTACTAGACGAAGAGTACATCCTCTCATCATTAAACTTGGTTGAATACTCGTCCAGGAGCTAAGACTTATATGGGAAGCTTCCTGCATCAAAATCTGATTATTTTTCAAGGAGTGTACACTGCTTCAAACATATGGCCTTGCTGTGCTGAACTAACTCCAGGTTCCTCCGCAAGCTCAAACTGAAAAACTTTTCAAAAAAGTTATAGGTAAACTTCTGGAAATGGCAGTTTTCCACAGTGAATGAGTGGCCAAAGGAAAAGTATTTAAGGTTATTAGCAAACTGTAGTGAGGTACAACAGTTGCAAAAACTGTCTAAAATATATTTGGCTTTGTCTATTAATTTGGAATATCCCAAGTGAGATCTGGCTGTTAACAAATGCATGCATTCCACTGAACTCTCCCCTTTCTATTGGTTTTCGTACTCTGAATATAACTGAGAGGGGGGAAAACATTTCCTAGAATAAAGGACAATATATCCCCATCTTAAGAACTTCATTCAAGGGGGAGGGGGGAGGAAAAATGCATCCTTATCTGACTGAGAATACACATCAGTTCTTCACTTCTCCAGTGCAAGCTTCTATAGGAGAAAACATTCAAGTATATCCTACATGTCCACATGCGGGAGGAGAATGGAAGAAAAGATAATAGTCTACCATACTTCATCTTATTGTTAGCCACCTTGGGTCCCTATGTCAGGAGAAAGGTGGGACAAAACTAAAGTAAATGCAAATAAATATATTTAGAGGCTAAAAGATGTGATCAAAAGAATTTGAATTCTAACATTCAAAATTCCAGCTGTAGAACTCAGCCAGACATTGTTCCCTTCAAGATGGAAACATCTCCATGAGGCCCTGGAGAAAAAAGTATGATGTGACATCTCTCTGCAGAGCCACTACTTTCCCAGAGGAGGCACTCATGTATTGCTGCATATCCATTGATATGTCAGTTGGAGGCAGAGGTAAGACTCATCTGTCTTCAAGCAGCCCCCTCTCAGCATGACTCCTAGTGATGCTTTATTGCCATGAGGCTGGCAGGCATGCATGCATGATCAAATAGTGCCATATCAGCAGATGAGAACAGCTCTTTGCTTGTGGTCTAGTTTGGATGTTTCTTCTTTTTTAAGTGTTACTATGAAATAGCCAATGGCAAGCAAAACAGCCCAAGGCTGTGCTACAAAGGCAGTTTCTGGCTGTTCAGATTCAACTTCAAATCACTGGAAAGTTCAAAAGAAGCAACTTATATTCATTACCTTTATTTGGAATACTCTTGGGACTAACAACAACAACAACCTTTAAAACCCCTTCTTGCTGAAAGGACACTGATTCAAGATGAATCAAACATGGGTCTCTATATGAATGGCAAACACACCAAGCCTTCGGTGACTGACTTTTCTAAAGGTTAAACATATGCATAGGCACCAAAGACGTGGGCATGAAATGTTTCTGAGGCATAATTCAGGCATAATAAATAGATGCTATCACTGGAAATGAACTTTCTTGGATCAGACTGGTAAACCCTAGGATGAATTGAAATTTTGCCAATGCTTTATTATTATGTGAGAATCAGCACACTATTATTAAATCACTACAAGTAGTGATGACTTGTGAACTTAATTTTGAAAAACCATCTCTCACCTATAGCAGTGCACGTTTACCATAATATACCATAAGGTATCATTGATATACCTAATAATAATAATAATAATAGCTTTATAAGGTATATCAATCTCTGATCATCCCAGATGTGAATGTCCTTTGATGAAAGCATACACTATACAATACTATGACCCCCTCACTTCATATAAAGTATTTATAGATAGCCTTTCCAATAATTGCTTTAAAAACCCTGTCAAGTTTTATATACACATATGAGCTTGTTTAAACCACAGCATATCTATCACTGTGCTCTGTTTCTCCATCTAACCTATGAGTCATTATTTTTCAAAAATAAGAAATCTAAATTAATTGGAATGTTATTTCATTTGCACAAAAAATCAGTTTTTCTGTCTGATGGCTGATTCCTTGTTCCTTTTTAAATAAACAAAATAGGCCATTTCCACAAGGATATTCATAGCCTTGTGATGACTTGAAAGTTAGATCTGGGATTCTGAACAGATGACAGATCTCATCTTTAGCCACAAATTTCAAAAGTAATCATAACAGTACAGACAGGGCACATACTTTTAATGAGACCCACAGTCGTGCAATTGCTAAACAGTGCATTACGGTCGCTGTGATCTTTGAAACTCTGCAACATTAGTGCCAGCACGACAGTTTATGATCCTTTCTTGCTAATCTCTGGCTGCTGTGCCTTTATCATTTGTATTCCAGGCACCAACTCAAACCCTTACTACTACCATACCTTGGCGCTCACCTAATGGTATATCGGGCTACTTTCATCTCATGTTCTCCATGTTAAAAAGGACTATTCTTTTCCATATGAAAGCATATGCTAGACTTTTACTTTTTAAAAAATGCATAAAACACAATCTCAATAAAGAGGATGCCTTTGGTGCCAATTTCAAAGTCGGTCACACCAAAATTAGTCACAATAAAGTCTCAGAGGAAGAACTAAAGTATGTTATACATCATTGTGAAGCTCAGGAGGCGATTGACTGTTTTGACTTCCCAGTGATATATTTTTAGATTCGGCAACGCTTTACGATCCCTCTCTTTAATTTGCAGGGGAAAGAGGGGGAGAGGAGAAGAGAGGAAAGAACAGGGCATTATGTCTTGTTAGAGAAACTATAAAGTCAAAAGTGCCCTTTCAAAGTCCGCTTTGACTCCAGGCGCAATCTATCAAGCAGGGCTCTTCTTTCCCATCAATGAACACGGCTTAAAGTATCAACAATTCAATTTTCAGGATGATAAAAAAAAAAACCAAAAGGCTTCACTCATCACCCCTTTTCAAAAAAAAACTGGTCCTTACGGGACTCACCTGAATCACAGAGGCAAGACCTGAACATGAGGAGAAATGTCCCTTTTATTGATCAACTGGAGCATCCAGGCAAGCAGGGCAGGAAGCCAATTCTCAAATGATTAGAGAAGCGTAAGAAAAGAAACCTGGGGGTCTATTCTCAAAGCCCCAAGGAGATCAGGAGGAAGTCTTCCAACACCGCTGAGCTTCCTAACCTTCCTAAATGAAGGCTAATGTCCAGAATCTCCCTCCTTTCCTCCCTAAAAGCTGCAAGGCAGCCAAAGAGATCCCAAGGCTGGATGTTGCAAAGGTATCACGTTTTTTCCCCCCACTGCACTGCTTGCCTTTCCGGAATGAAGGAGCATTTTAGAAGCAGGTCGGAGAGGAGGCGAAAGAGGGAATGAGAGAAAAGAAGGATGGATGGACTTGGAGAGGCTTTTTTTTTTCTATTTGTTTGGGCTGATTGGTTGTGTTGCATTGATCCCCCCCCCTCCCCCCGCTTCCTTTGGTAAAAGTAGCTGACTTTTTCCCAGCTTCCTGAAGGGATGGATTTCCTCAGCAATTCCCTCTCCGCACTGCCATGTAATACAGTTTGGAACTGCATTATGTGGTCAGTGCAGACCACATAATGCAGCTCAGTGTACTATGGGAGTCTTTACATATAATGCAGTGGCAAACATATGGCAATGTAGATGGACCCCCCCCCCCTCTCTCTTTGGCCCCTTCCAGACAGCTGAATACAATCCCACATTATATGCTCTGAACTGGAATATGTGGCAGTGTAGACTCAGGGCCCTTCCCACACAGTCCTATATCCCAGAATATCAAGGCAGAATAACCCACAATATCTGTTTTGAACTGGATTATCTGAGTCCACACTGTTTTATAACCCAGTTCAATGTGGATTGTATACATTTGTGTGGAACGGGCCCCAGTTCAAAGCAGATATTGTGCGATTTTCTGCCTTGATGTTCTGGGTTATACGGCTGTGTGGAAGCCCCCCCCCCCTTTCTTTCAATGCGGGTGCTTCTTCACTGTGGAATGAATGCAGTTCTGATACCGCTTTAACTGCCACGGCACAAGGCGAGGGAATGATGGGAGATGAAGTTGAGCCTTTGCTGCCGCAGACAGAGCGCTGGTATGCCTCTCCAAGGATTCCAGTCAGCCAGGACAGTTAAAGCGGTGCCAAACTGTATTAAATCTACGGTGGAGACGCACCCTGCTTGTTCTCTTTGGCAAACGGATGGAGGGGAGGGCAGGCGTGATAGAACCCTCTTTCTGTCCTCTTTCTCTGTTCTATGTTAGCCTTCTATGGACAGCTTAAACCCTGAGGGACATTGGAAACTTCCGGAGGGAAAGAGAAGCCTCTTTTTTCCCGCTCGCCTGCTCCCCGCTCCGGACGCATCCTCACCTGCCGAGAGAGGTGACCTTCCCTCGTCCCTTCCGCCTTCCCCTCAGCGCGACGCTTCCTCCTCCTCCTCCTTCTCCTCCGCCGCCTTTAATCCACGCGCCGGCCTTCGAAGGCGAGGGCTACCGCCGCGGCCAAGTCCTCGCGACCATGTGCCCGGGCTGCGCTGGGCTCCGCTGAGGAGAACTTGCTTTGCCGAGGCGCGCGCGGCGGAGCGGCTCTCGGGCAGGCGCCGGCACCAGGGGGGTTCCTTCTCCTCCAATCAGAGCCCGCCGAGGAGCCGCGAGGCAGCCAATGAGCGGACGCGGAGGGTGAAGGGGGGGGGGAGAGAGAGAGATGCTCCTGCCGCGCGCCCACCCGGCCTCCCCCACCCAAATGGCTTTGAACTGTGCCGGCGCGAGCCTCAGAATGTGTCCCTGGAATAATAGCATTCCAGAGTTGGAAGGGACTACAAAGGCCATCCAGTCCATCCCCGCACTGTAAGATTTTTATAGCATCGTCTGGGGGACCTTCCATACAGCCATATAACTCAGTATTAAGGTAGAAAATCCCACAATATATCCTTTCATGGAAGAGACCTCATGGGCCATCCAGTCCAACCCCCTGCCAAGAAGCAGGAAAATCGCATTCAAAGCACCCCCGACAGATGGCCATCCAGTCTCTGTTTCAAAGCCTTTAAAGAAGGAGTGCCCACTATACTTCGGGGCAGGGAATTCCACTGCTGAACAGCTCTCACAGTCAGGAAGGTCTTCCTCGTGTTCAGGTGGAATCTCCTTTCCTGTAGTTTGAAGCCATTGCTCCACCTCCTAGTCTCCAAGGCAGCAGAAAACAAGCTTGTTCCCTCCTCCCTGTGACTTCCTCTCACATATTTATACATGACTATCATGTCTCCTCTCAGCCTTCTCTTCTTCAGGCTATACATGCCCAGCTCTTTGAGCCACTCCTCATAGGGCTTGTCCTCCAGACCCTTGATCATTTTAGTCGCCATCCTCTGGACACATTCCAGCTTGTCAATATTTCTCTTCATTTATGGTGCCCAGAATTGGACACAACATTCCAGGCAGGCATGTTGTGGTCAAAAGATATTTAATCACCTGCGCTCCTTCTATTTTTATCAGTTTTATACTAATTTATGCAATGCTTTTGATACGAAATAAATAAATAAATCCCGGGTTTTCTGTTTATCCTAGATTATCTGGCAGTGCGGACTCATTTAATCCAGTTTAAACCTTTTTTGTGTCTGGAGCAACGAGAAACTACAAGTTGCTTCTGGTGTGAGATAATTGGCCGTCTGCAAGGACGTTGCCCAGGGGACGTCCAGGTGTTGTCCCCCCATGAGGAGCTGGAACTGACAGAGGGAGCTCATCTGGACTCTCACCAGATTCGAACCTCTGACCGGTCTGTCTTCAGTTCTGCCAGCACAAGGGTTTAACCCATTGCACCACCGGAGGCTCCAACTTGAGTTCACATCCTGGGATATAGGGCCTGTCTGGAAGGGCCCTTTGATAACCCAGTTCAAAGCAGATGTTGTGGGATTTTTCTGCCATGATACTCTGGATTATGTGGCTGTGCGGAAGGGCCCTGGGTTATCTGAATCCACACTGCCATATAGTCCAGTTCAAAGCAGATAATGTGGGATTTTATTCAGCGGTGTGGAAGGGGCCTGAATAGCCTATCTGTCAGGGAGTGCTTTGATTGTACATTCCTGCACTGAACTAGATGGCCCTTAGGGTCTCTCTTCCAACACTTGTGAGTGTCCACACAGGAAAATACAATCAGAGAACTCCTGTCAGATAGCCACCCCGACCCTGCTTGAAAACCTACGGAGCAGACTCTGGACCCTGCAATTAGAATTCTGTTAATTTGTTGAAAGTCTCATCTATAAACTGGTGTTCCATGCAGTCATGCGGCCTTGGATGCATCTATGGCTTAGAAATGGAGATGAGCACCACCCCCTGAGACGATCATGGCTAGACTTAATGTCAAGGGGAGACCTTTTATAAACTGGTATGGAAACAGTGAATGCTTCAGGCAGCCATTCTAACTAAATCCTAAACTCACTTAAATACAGTTGGACACGAAGCCCTTCCTCACAACCATATAACCCAGAATTTCAAGGTAGATAACCCACAATTTCTGCTTTGAACAGAGGGTTCTTCTGGGGCCTGTCTGATAGGGCCCTGAGTTATCTGAGGCCCCTTCCACACAGCTGAATGAAATCCCACATTATCCACTTTGAACTGGTATATATCTCAGTGTGGGCTCTGGGCCCTTCCACACAGTATCCTGAGTATCAAGGTAGAAAATCCCACATTGTCTGCTTTGAACTGGGTTATCTGAGTTCACACTCAGATAATGTGGGATTTTGTGCCTTGATATTCTGGGATATAAGGCTGTGTGGAAAGGCCCTCTGATAATCCAGTTCAAATCAGATCATGTGGGTATCTGCTTTGATAATCTAGATTATGTGGCAGTGTAGAAAAGGTCTTAGGGCCCTTCCATACAGCCATATAGCTCAGAATAACACATCAGATAATCCACAATATCTGCTTTGAACTGGATTATCTGAGTCCACCCTGCCAGATAATCCAGTTCAATGTGGATTTTATACAGATATGGGAAACTCCCTTCCTGGCAGTATTAGATCAGCCTCCTCCCTCCTGTCCTTCAGAAGGATGGTGAAGAGCTGGCTGTGGGACCAAGCCTTTGGAGCAGTGCAATGAGGCAAAATGAAGTCCTGAGATGGTTTTTAAGCAACTTTTAATGTGGACGTAAGTGATTTTAATGTTTTTATATATTTATGGTTTTATGTCCTGGCATTGAATGTTTGCCATACATATGTTGCGCTCCACCCTGAGTCCCTGCGGGGTGAGAAGGGCGGAATATAAATGTTTTAAATACATACATACATACATACATACATAAAGGGCCCTAGTCTCCAGAGCAGCAGAAAACAAGCTTGTCCCCTCCTCAATGTGTGGTCATCATGTTGTCTCTCAGACTTCTTTTCTCCAAGCTAAACATAGCCAGCTCCCTCAGCTGTTTTCAAACCTTTGTTCATATTGGTCGGCTTCGTCCATACACCTTCCAGCTGCTCAATATCCTTCTTGAATTGTGGTGCCCAGAACTGGACACAGTGTTATTCCAGGTGAGACCTGAGCAAAGCAGAATATAGAGGGACTATGACTTCTCTCAATCCCTAGACACTATGCTCCAGCCTAGAAATACATTGGCTCTTTTAGCTGCTGCATCACACTATTGGCTCATCTTCACCTTGTGATCTACTAAGATTCATTGATCCTGTTTCTGATTTTGTTTTCCTGTTGACATGAGGGAACAAGGAAAGTGGGGGGTTCAAACACAATCACTGCAAACACCCTCTTCAAGGTACTTATTCTGCTTTGGTCTTCCTGTTGGGAACATAAGAGCCTAGAATATTATGGGCTACTTGCCTTCAACCCATATTTTTCCTTATGACATTTCCCTTTAAGGGCTGGTTGAGCACATTGCATGCCCTTATATGTTCATTTGTTTATGTTGGGCAGCCACTTAGATCCAAATGTAGACTTTCCACTTTTTATGGGAGAGGTCCACTCGGCCTCATCACTGCACACAACAAATGTGAGGCTTTCCTCTCAGGCAATCACATGGTCAGTGTCACCAACTGCAAGGATTTATCTCAAGAAAATACAGGGGACTTTACACTTAACCTGCTGAATGTGTAGCCTTCCAAAGCATTCACTGAAATACTCCAGAATTTATTACACAAGGCAAACAAATGAGCATCGAGGCCGAGCATATTTCCCTGCTTCCTCCCTGTAATGATTAGCCTGTCACTTGCTATAAAAGGGCAAAACCCTTCAACACCTTGTGATCTTGCAGCATTCCCATCACCTGCCTTGTGGAATGGATCCCCCCCCCACACACACACACACACACACACTTCTATACCCAGCCTGATGGCAGTAAAGTGGTATCAGGGAATGGGATACTCTTCTCCCAATCTCCACCTACCGTCTTGCTATTCCTGAGTTGTCTGCTTTGTGTTTATGTAATAGATCACTGATATATTTGTCACTCTTTTTTCATTATTCATTGCTTAAACTGCAAAATGACTCCCAAAAAAATATTACAGAGCAGGGGAAGTGTGGGAAGGTGGCATTGTGAGAGAATGCAGAAGTACGATCACCAGACCATGGATTGGAAAACCGGCACAAATGTGTGAATTAAGAAAGGTGTAATGTAGAAGGTACTCATATCAATATGTATCTGCTATGTATGGAAATGAGACTCTATGTGATAATGTAGTCAGTGTGAATGCTTTCAGTGAGCCACTATCACTCTAGCAGAGAAGGTTAAAGATCGTATAAAGCTACAACCCTTATGATTTCATAGCATTTTTTTTTTCATGTCAGGAGCAACCTGAGAAACTGCAAGTTGTTTCTGGTGTGAGAGAATTTGCAGTCTGCAAGGATGTTGCCCAGGAGATGCCCAGATATTTTTGATGTTTTACCATCCTTGTTGGAGGCTTCTCTCGTGTCCCCACATAGGGGGCTGGGGTTGACAGAGGGAGCTCTACCCTCTTTCCCCAGATTTGAACCACTGACCTGTAAGTCAGCAGTCCTGCCAACACAAGGGTTTAACCCATTGCGCCACCAGGGGCTCCTATTCCATAGCAGTGAGCTATGGTAGTCAAAGTGATGTCAGATCACATTAATTAATTCTACAGTGTAAATGCAACCTCAGTGGCTTTTTGTGGCAACCAATTACTTACTTAGAGACAGTGTGCAGATGTGGTTTGCATATTGGACTAAGTCCCCAAGTTTCCAGGGTTCAAATCTCCACTTGACCATAGAAGGCTACTGGGTGACTTAAGCAAGTCACACTTTTCCAAAGGAAGACAATGGCAACTTTCCAAACAACACTTGCAAAAAAAAAAAAAACCCAATCTGTGTTAGGGTGGCTATAGGTCATGCCCAAAACAACAATGAAAAAGTATTTCCTAATCCTTCTTTAGAGGAATTGTGCAGAAACTGCAGCAGCCACATAACTTATTTTCTTCTGCACTTCCCACATGGAGAGCCTGGGGATATATAACTTTAGAAAAAAAAATCTGTACAATTATTGCATTCTTCCCTAACACCACTACCCAGAAGGATTCAGAGAAAGACTTGGGATTGGATTTCCACGATGAGAGAGTC